CTGCAGCACCACACCAGTGGCCTCTATGACACTGCTCTGCCTTGGTTCTCCTGCCCTCTCAGCACTCTCCCCTCTGGTTTGCTGGATCTTCTTCCACTATTTTCTGGAGAAATTGTCCCAGTGCCATGCTTGGTCTTCTCTTTGCCTGTGTCTCTTTAATCTCTCATCCGTGCGCATAGGTCAGTTCTGTGCAAGTGATTTCCTTGTCCCCTGGATACTGCCCCTCCCCTTACCTCTCTGCTGGACTTGACCTCTCTTTCCATTTCCTACCATATGTTTCCATTTGGGTGTCCTGTCGTCATCTCAAACCAAACATGTAGAGAATTAAGCCTGTCTTCCCCCTCCCAGTTTCCATTTTTCTTCCCATGGCATCAGCGTTCTCTCACCCACCCAAACTCAAAACCTGAGTCATATTTGACACCTCCTCCCCATTCTTCCCTTCCCAAATGCAAGTTTTGCCAGCTTCCTTTGCAACATCTCTTATAGTTCTTTGTCCTTTCTATTCTGTCTGCTAATCTAGCATCTCAGTACCCCATGTCTTGAATATTTAATAGCTTCTTGCTTGGTCACCTTTCCTGCTGTTTCTTCTCCATCTAGTCTCTCTCATACCTAGCTAGACATAATTTCCAGGATGATTACTGCTACCTCTCTCCTGCTCAGAAACCTTCAGGTGCTCTCATCACTATATATGAAGTCCAGACTCCTTAGCCTCAGGCCCAAGAGCCTTTTTTTTTTTTTTTTTGGCCGCAGCCTGCCTCACTTAATCCTACATGATTAAGAATACAGGGACTCTAGGATCACACTCTAACTCTGACTCTTATATGCTGTGTGACCTTGTGACCTGGGCAGCTACTTAACTGGTCTGTGCTGGAGTTTCCTCTTTAAGTGTTTTTTTTTTTTTTAAGAGACGGGTTCACCATGTTGGCCAGGCTGGTTTTGAACTCCTGACCTCAAGTGATCCACCTGCCTTGGCCTCCCAAAGTGCTAGGATTACAGGTGTGAGTCACCACGCCTGGCCTTTAAAAAAATTTTTTTTTGCGATGGAGTCTCACTCTGTTACCCAGGCTGGACTACAGTGGCATGATCTCTGCTCACTGCAACCTGTGCCTTCCGGGATCAAGCGATTCTCCTGCCTCAGCCTCCTGAGTAGCTGAGATTACAGGTGCGTGCCACCACACCCAGCTTATTTTTGTATTTTTAGTAGAGACAGAGTTTCACCAGCATGGTGAGCTGAGATCGCACCACTGCACTCCAGCCTGGGTAACAGAGCAAGACTTTGTCTCAAAAAAAAAAAAAAAAAGTTCTATACTCATTTCTAGGGTTTTGGTGACCCAGTAAGCACTTAAATGCTATTTTTTTCTGATTTTATGTGCAAACCTCTGTGGTTTTCACAGAGGGAGTGGTATATATTTCACAGCTCTGCATACCTAGCACGTGGCACACACATCATTCCCTCCTGCTTGCCTTTGTTCAGCCCATTCCCTCAGTCTGGAACACTGTTCTCTGACTGGGTGTGGCAGTTCACCCCTGTCATCCCAGCACTTTAGGAAGCCAAGGCAGAAGGATTGCTTGGCCTCAGGGGTTTGAGACCAGCCTGGGCAACATAGTGAGACTATCTCTAAAAACAGAAAAAAAATATTTTTGATTAGCTGTGAATGACATGTGCCTGTAGTCCCAGCTGCTTGGTAGACCAAGGCAGGAGGATGGCTTGAGCCTGGGAGTTTGAGGCTGCAGTGAGCCATGATTGCACCACTCTCTCTCTCTCTCTTCTCTCTCTCCCCCGGTGTGTGTGGTGTGTGTGTGTGTGTGTGTGTGTGCGCGCACGCATGCGTGTGCGTGTGTGTGTGTGTGTGTGTGTTTGCTTTTTGTATTTCTGAAGTGCTCTTCAAACTGAATGAGGTGGTAGCTGTTTCAGGGGTACTTGAAAGCAGCCATAGACCACACATGGCGCATCTTCCTGGAGACTTCATTTACTTAATTATAAATAATTTCACCTACATTTATGTTAATACAACTACTCCAAGCCGGACGCGATGGCTCACGCCTATAATTGCAGCACTTTGGGAGGCTGGGGCGGGTGAATTACTTGAGGTCAGGAGTTTGAGACCAGCCTGGCCAACATGATGAAACCCCATCTCTACCAAAAATACAAAAATTAGCCAGGCGTGGTAGTGGGTACCTGTAATCCCAGCTGAGGCATGAGAATTGCTTTAACCCAGGAGGCAGAGGTTGCAGTGAGCCACGGTCATGCCACTGCACTCCAGCCTGGGTGACAGAGCAAGACTCTGTCAAAAAGGAAGTACAACTACTCCAGACATACAGAGTAGAATGCAAAATTGGTGAAAGAAACCACTAAGAACATTCCCCATGGCACTGTCCCCTGCAGTGGAAAGGTGGGAAGGCGAGAAGCAGGGACCCCTGATTAGAAGGGGCTAGGTGCAGATGAGGTACGGCAGGGGTGATATCAATGCAGTTGGGGGGAGGTGGCAGTCCTTGTCACCCGTGGTGCTCTCTTCTTTCTGAGAACTCAGACAATTGTCTCTGCCATTCCTAGGTTGCCTTGGGAAAGCACTCGTATTACATGGTTTTCTAACTTTCCACATGTGTAGTCCTTATCTCCTCAAAAACATTCTTATCCTACAACATCTGGAGTGCAGGTGTGGGGTGAATTCAGGCCCTGGTGTTTGCTGATTGAGCAAGGCACTTTTCCTCTCAGCCTTGGTTTCCTTATCTGTAAAACATGATAATACTTCCCTAATGAGGTTGTTCTGAGGATTCAACTAGATAACATTTGTGCAGCATTTAGCACAGCAGATGGCATGGATAGGCACTTAGTAAACATCAGAGCCCTCCCAGCAGTGCCAGGTTCTTAGTAAACATCTGATTCTTGAATATTCCCATCCCCAAATTATCCCCCTACCTACAACTCCTCCCACATTCTCTGCCTCCCTTCCTGTCACAGTGCATGTGTCTACTGAAGGCCACCCTCTTCCCATGTCCTGGTTTCTGGCCCTCCTCACCGTCACAAAGACCTCACTCACACAACTGCCTCCTCATTTCCTGTAGCCTCAGGTTCCCTCCCTACTGGATCTCTCAGAGCACTTCATCTCTCTCTACTCACTCAGGGCATCTCATCCACTGTTGCAGCTTTCAAGGCCATCTAAAAGATTCCCAAGTTTGTATTTTAAATCTAGAATGCCTCAGAATCCGAGACTAACATATCCATTGCCTACATCTCATGTCCCCTTGGAAGTGGCACCGATACTTCGGCAAGTCTAAAATGGAGCTCCAGATTCCTGCCCCACCCTTCCCACAAGTTTTCCCATCTTAGTAATGAGACCTCTGTCCTTCCAGTCGCCCAAACGAAAACCTTTGGAGTTATCCTTGGCTCCTCCCTCTTAAATCTCACAGTCGACCAGTCAGCTATTCCTTCAAAATACAGAGAGCATCTGGCCACTTCTGAGCAGCCCACCTCCCCACACTGGGCCAGATCACCCTCATCTCTCGCGAGGCCGACTTCAGTAGCCTCCTGAGTGGTTTTCCTATCTCTGTTTTCCCCAACTCCACAATCTGTTTTCCACCAACAGAATAGTGTTTTTGAAACATAAGCTTGACTCTGTCATTTATTGGCTTCAAGCCTTCCAGTATCTTCCCCCTCACTCAGAATCAAATCCAGATTTCTTATCATGGCCTGCAAGGCCCTAGGGACCAGCCTGCTCCCTGTCTGCCTTCAATTGCCACTACCCTCCCTAGCTCCCTGGGCCCTGGCCTCACTGGCCTCCTCCAAAGCCTTTCCTGGAACAGGCTGGAAACACTCTTCCCTCCAAGAGCTTCTCCTTGTTGTTCCTTTTGTCTGGAACACTCAGGTGCAGACCTTGCTCCCTTCCTTCCTTCAGGTCTCTGCTCAAATGCCACCTTAGCAGAAGGCCTTCCCTGACCAGTCTCTACCATAGCACGCCTGGCATCCTCAGACCCTTTCTGATCCCAATTCTGATCTGGCTTACTACGGACGCTACCTGACATCATTAACTTATGTGTTTGCTTTTGTCCATCTCCTGACCATCAGTAACACTCCAAGGGGACCTTTGGTGCCTGGCACATAGTGAGTGCTCAGCAGCTGGGCGGGAAGTGTGGCATAGGCTGGAAGAGCTTAATGCAGTGGCCCCAAGTCATGCCCTGCCTTTTGCCTGCTGTGTACTTTTGGGCAACTTTACTTAGTTTCAGTTTCCCTCTCCGTAAAACCTATCTGGAAGGTTTTTTTTAGGAGGATTAGAGATAATACATTTAAAGTACCCGAGACACGATCAGTGCTCAGTAAGACAGGGGCTACAAAGGCTGCTTATCTGCTCTATAGGCCTGTTTCCAAGAAGTTACTAGTGCTGCCTCCATCTGCCCCCAGGATGGAGGGCTACAGTACTAGAAGCAGTTATTTACTCTCTGTGTCATCCCCTGACCGGGGTCCCCTGAGCATTGTTTCTGGCTCCAGCCAGTTCTCCTCCATCCCCCAGCACCATCAGTTTCTTACCAAAGTCCCTTAGATGATAGCCATGTCTGAGCAGGTCCAGCAAGTTGAGACCCTTCTCAGCCCTGCTTTGGATCAAGGTGGCCCCCGATGTGGGAAGCTGAGGTGCTTACTGGGAATGTATAGATATGTTTTGGCTTTATGAGCCATGGGCCCCATGGGTCCTTCTCTAGCAAAGCGTCCGTGTTCGTGAGGTGGGCGCCGCTTAGCAAGCCAGGTCTCTGGCCAGTCAGGGAGGTTTTCCCCAGCTGTTTGGGGAAGGTGAGTCAAGAGTAGTTTCCCTGTGGGCCACCAGGGGGCACCAGAGGTTGCTCGGCTCTTGCAAAGACTTGATCTGTCCCTTAAGGTATATGTCTCCTGCCTCTCAGGCCTAGGACTTTCTCGAAGGAAAAGCGATGTGGTGATGGCTCCACCGTCTCCTAAGTTGCTAGGGACTACGAGTCAAAGCAGGGCCACAGTAAAGGACTGAAGGTCAGGATTCCAGGCTCAGTGTTCTTTATTGATAAGCATTAGTGAACCCCTTGCCCTGGGAGCTCAGCCAGTCCTGCTCTCAGATTCCTAGCCTTAGGTGGGACAGCATCTTTGCCTCATGGATCAACTGTCCATGTCTGGCTGTGCCTAATTTGCCACACCATGGGTCAGGGAGGCAGGCAGCAGGTATTGGAAGGCAATGGCCAGGTCCTTTTCCCCAAGACTGCTCTCCATCTAGGACCGCTTTGCTTCAGCTGTGCTGGCTCTCCCAGGGGGCTCTGGAAGCCTGCAGGTTAGATGGAGGAGCTGAGCCTCGAACACCTTCAGGTTCCACCTGCCAAGGGTTCCTCCACAGCGGGGCTGAGCTGAGTAGGAGCAGTAGGCTCGCGCTTCTGTCCTGAGGTTCTTGGGTGGTGAGCAGGAGAGCCAAGGGCAGGAGGTCCTAGGCCTCATAGGGGATAGAGATGCCAGAGGCTGTGGAAGACGGGGTAGGAGGGAGGGATACCCCAGAGAGAGAGAGAGAGAGAGAGAAAGAGAGAGAGAGAACGAATGAGAATGAGAATCAGTTGAGTCCCTGGATTTGATTTCACCAGCTCATTCTTGGCCATGCCCATAGTCCTTGGGAAACCCCTCAGTTCTAAATAGATAGTTCCTTGGGTCCTGGGTGTGTATCTTTGCCCCCCACTAGCTCATACAGGTAAGAATTATTATAGCAACATGTCCTTCTGAGCCAGGCACCTTGTAGAACCTTCTTGCCTACTCAGCAAGGCCCTGCAACCCTGCATCCATTTTTCCCTCAGGTCAGGGCAACAGGATGGTGGTGCCTGGAGAAGGCCCTGGCTTCCCTGAAAGCCCTCCCGGCCTGTCTCTGACCTGCACTGGAAGCGGGGGTCTCCAGGGTGGGTCTTCAGCACCTGCCACACCTCTGGGGGAGGCTCCAAGCCCAGCTGCTTGGCCCGACACCAGCGCTGCAGCCGTGTGATCCCTGCCAGGGTGGGAAGAAGACTCTGGAGCCTCGTGGCAGGTGGGGTAGAGTCTGAGCTGGAGAATGTGTGTGTTGCAGGGGAGACCGTGCCCGAGGGTCACAGTCACACGGGCGCTTGGGTGGCTTCAGAGACGTGGGTGACGGGACCTGCTGGGAGAGGTGCCTCCGTGAAGCTGGGTGGGTTCTCACCGGTGCAGGGCCCATACTGCCAGGCCAGGTCAAACTGCCTCAGCAGCTGCAGCTCCGCCTCGTCCTCGTCGGGGGGCTGGGGCTCCTCCCCTGCAATGACAGCTGCTCCTCAGTGCGTGGCTGGCCTCAGTCTCCTGTCCCTCGCCTCCCAGCCGTGCCATGTTCCCAGCCTTCCTCACCACCCCTTTGCCTCTGCCGTCCCGCAGCTAGACCTGGTGTTGGGAGGGATGGACATGCCACCCTTCCCCTTCCATCTGCCCCCTCCACCCACGTCCTCTAGGCCCCTCCGTGTCCACTCCTCCTGCCTCCCTCACACCTCAGAGACCTAGCTCGGGTGCCAGCTCCCCCTTGCTGTGCCCAGCGGGCCCCTCCCTCCTCTTCACAACCGGGTAGGAGTCAGTGATGAGCCGCTTCCGGCCCATGGCGGCCACCCAAGCAGGCAGAGAAGGCGGCGACTGCGGGGAAGAGGAGAGACCGGCCAGTGGGCGCGAAAAAGACAGCTGCTGAGAGAGACAGACGGGGCCAGGCCAGCGGCGGGCAGACGAGATGACCCAGACAAGCCGAGAGAGGAAATCGCTGGGGTCCAGGGAGGGATACCTCCCCCACCCCCACAAGCACGCAAACAGCGAAGACTTCACCCAATGGCAGGCCGCCTCTGTGGGGCGGGACCCTGGCTCTAGCCAATGGCAGACAGTACAGGGTGAGGGGCGGGGCAGCGCCGCAGCTGCGGGTCATGGGAGGAGGGGCAGGCTCGGGTGGGGGACCTGTCAGGATGCCCCGACTTTACCACCTCCCCCGGCCCCCATTGGTCTGCTGTGGGTCCCGAGAGACTTGAAGAGAGTTATCCTCAGCCTCTCACTTCCCGTTTTCCCTTCCTAGGCAAATGTTCTTTTCAGCTTCGCTAATCCCCGTGGCCAGTTTGTAACTCCCCAGAGCCCAGCTGGAGCCTTCACTCGGTCCTTTGGCTCGCCCAGCGCTGTGGGGGCAGGTCTGGAGGTCTGAAGAGAGTTTGGGCTAATCCAGGCCCCTTCCCTGCTCCCACCCAACCCCCACCGGCCCCGGGAGACCTGGCTGAAGAATCCCAAGGGCTCTGAAACCTCCTTTCTCACAGTCTGTGCCCAAAGACGCTGCCCATTCTTAGTCCGCATAAGCGTTTGCCTTTTTGCCTCTCCTGGGGTCCCAAGTCCTCCGCGGCCCGCCCCATCACTCAGGAAGATTCCATACTGAGTAGGAAGGCAGAGCAAGGGTCTGCTCCCCCCATCACAATGTGTTTGGATGCCCAGTTAGTTCTTTGGCAAAATCTGCCCTGTCTCTCACAATCATGTGAGTCTGAGAATAAAATATTAACAATAAACCTAACACTCATATTGCACGTACCGTGTGCCAAGTTCTGTTCTAAGCACTTTCCCACATATTAACTCAATTAAAATAGATGTCACAAAGTTTTTGAAAGTAGGAAGTATAGCTAAATGATTATCACTGCTGATAGTCACAGGCATTGTAGGGCCCCAATCAAACTAGTTTCTCTTGTGCCCCAGGAGCTCACAGTCTTACAAGGCAGACGGATGCACGGTTGTAAAAGAGAGGCTATAATTCCTACCAGAAGAGGGAAAGGGTGGGTCAGAGATTGGTTAGGACTACAGGGATGATTAGCATTGGAAGGCCTCCTGGAGGAGGTGGACTGCTGTAAACAATGTCTCTCAATTCTCCACCCATGACCTTTGTCCCTTGGGCTCCTGTCATCACTGACTCACCCCTACTGTTGCCTCCCCCTCACCAACTTCCTGGCAGCAGGCAAAAGTACTGGCCAGTGGGAGTCTGGGAACCAGCACAGGGACCAGCCCAGCTCTAATCACTCTCCTGAGATCCCATCGGGTTCTTCCTTCAAGGGATACCGGGAGGGTGGGGCACAGACTCTTGGGCTGCTGACTGCTCAGAGGCCTCTCCCTCCTCCTTGCCCTGCTCTGGGGTCTGGGTGCTCTGCACTGGAAGAGGGCTAAGCCCCTGGTACAGGTGGGAACAAGAGGGGAGGCTGCTCTGGAGAGGAGATCACCAAAGAGGAGGCAGAGGAGCAGGCCATGTCTTCAGGGTCCACTTCCTGCCTGGCTCTCCCCATTGGTTTCCTGGAGGAGATTTGGTGGAGGAGAGATCTTGTGGGGGCACTGCATGGAGCTAGAGGGCCCTTTCTGCTGTCTTGTTTGGGCTGGGCCTGGTCTCATCCCCCCATCTGCCTTGTGGACTAAGTGCGGCCCACATTCAGGGAGACAGTGTCCCTGTGGAGTTGAGGATGGAAGCAGGGAGGCTCTCTCTACCAGGGCTTGGAAGGGCCTAGGTGCTGAGTCTGGGTCAGGCGCTGAGCACGCTAGGGAGGGATGGCGCCTATGCTCTTCAGGATTGACTACCCCCTCCCCAGAGGGCCTCAGCCAGAGCTCCTGGGCTGTTTCCAGAAGTGTGTGGCACCCACCTCCCTAGGCCACCAAGCCTGAGGGAATAGGGAGCCATGGGTGTGGCAGACCCCTCCTCATTCCTAGTCCCTCCCACCCCTGAAAGCTGATAGCCGTGAGGCCCTGCCACCGCCCAGGGAGCGTGAAATGGGATGTGCCCCCAGGCAGGCACAGAAGCTCCTACTGCCGCCTGGGCCTCTTGCCTTTTCTCCTTGGGCAGCCTCTCATATCCTGAGCTGCTGCTCTGTGGATGTTGGCTGGGCCATCTCCATCAGCTTCCCCAGCTTCGCCTGGCCCAGGCCCCCACCCAACCTGGATGATGTCTCCCTCAGGCTTCAGCTCCTCCCAGACCTGAGAAAAAGAGTCAAGAGTGGTCAGCTCAAGTGCAGGCACCCTATGCCTGGCTTTCGGGCTTGGTGTTGAGGGAACTCTCCACAGGCAGCATTGCCGTTCTCTCATAGATGGCAGTGAACTTGAGCCCCTAGGGAAGAGTTGGCACCCAGGGATTTTGGAACCATCCCTGTCCAACTGGCATCCCCTAACTCAGCACCTGGATGAGGCTGGAGCTTGGCCTGCCCATCCCCAGGTCTTTTCCTTCTTTGCTCTCCGACCCCTTCTACCTTCTGTACTTTCTTGCCAAAGCCCCTTCCCCTACTCAGGCAGTTTTCTGGTGTCATTCCCTAAACTGCTGTCCTGGAGCCTGTTCAGGCTTCAGGCTGGATGGTCAGGCCAGAGGTCTTGGTTGGGTGCTGAGTTCTCTCTCTCTGGGGGAGTGTCCTGAGACCCTTGTGTCAGCCCTGACACCCAGAGGCTGGTGATGAGACGAGTAGGAGTGGCCTTTGCACCTCAGCCTGGTAATAATACCCAAGGCCCTTGCTTCAGGGTCAAGGCCAGAGTCCTGGGGAGTCCAGGAGAGAAAAGAACTGAAAAAGGAACCCAGCACCTTCCCAGGGGCTGAGGCCCACGATGACTGCTCTCAAGGGAATAGGGATTAGGTCTGATTTATCTCAGACAATGTGGCAGGATGGGGGCCTCAGCACTGCACCTGAGCTCCCCACGAGCCCCTTCCCTTCCCCTAGCTCACCATGAGGTTTGTTGGGGAGAGCCAGGTGGAACTGGTTTGGTGGAGGCAGATGGAGAGATGGGAGCAGCTGTCTGGGGCCCAGTGGACTGTGGGGTGGATCCAGCTCTTCTTCCTTCTCCCTAGTGCCCTTCTTCCTCAGGCTTTCAGGCCCTGCCACCCATCCTGAGCTGGAAATCAGTCCCACTCAGGAGATTCCGGGCAGCCAGACTACCCCCCTGCCCCGGCCCCCAACATACTCATACACCCTGGGCCCCATTCCTCATCCTGTGGGCCAGAATTCTTTCAGGCAGCCCTTCCGAGTTCCTCACTGCCCTCCCAGATGCCCCTTCCTCTCCTGGTTCAGGTTCTGTGGTCTAGGGTGCTTTTGGGTGCCTGAGCTTGAGGGGAAGGAAGGGGTCTCTGAGTTTTTCTGCCACTGTTGTCCTCTGTCCTGACCCCACCACCCTCCACACCTCCTCTTCTAGTCACCTCCTCTGGTTACCTCCTCTGGTCATGTCCTCTAGTCACCTTAGTGTGGCCCTCCAGGCTCTGGAGCAGTTCCGGGAAGACTTGAAAAGAGGCCTCTGGCCATTCCTCACCTTGGCCACCAGGTGTCAGACTTTGCCCAGCTGGGAGGAAGGTTCTAGTTAACCATTTCCACCCCATCAGCCAGGTCTCTGAGAGAAACTGGAGCAAGTTGGTAAGGAGCCTAGAGGTGACCGCTGGACTAGCGAGACCCTGAAGGTTGAGACTGGGGAAAGGACCAGAACTCTGGCTCCACCGCTTTCCCCCAGATTCCCCTCACTGCCATAGCCCCCACACCACCCCACGACAAGGGCTTTGTCCCCTGCTGGGAAGTTCGGGAACCAGGCTGAGTCAGGGAGCTTGAGAATTGAAGGAACAAAGGCAGGGGCAGTTGTTAGCTCCACAGCAGAAGGGGAAGCTAAGACGGAGCTGCCCATTGGAGTGCCAGCCAGGCCTGAGTCACTAGCCCTTGCCCTCTAGGTTAAGGGGAACAGAGGGCCTCCCTTTGCCCTTCCCCATTTGGGGTGGCTGTGGCAAGTGAGAGTGTGTGTGTGCATGTGTGTGTAAGCTCAGTGCTTGAATGAGTCTCTAACGTCGTGAGGGGGCCTGTAAGTCTTGGATGTTGGTCAGTCTTTGCAAAAGTGGAAAACTGGCAAGGTCTGAGTATTTTGCCATATCCCATCAGAACCTCCTCTAGCCTCACTTCCCCCAGAGGTTGCCCCTGCCCCAAGTGACAGTTCTCTATTTTATGCTCATTCTTTTTTTTTTTAAAGATGGGGTTTCACCATGATGGCCAGGCTGGTCTTGAACTCCTGACCTCAGGTGATCTACCCACCTTGGCCTCCCAAAGTGCTAGGATTACAGGCGTGAGCCACCGCGCCCAGCCTATTTTATGCTCATTCTTTCAAACATAGGTGTGTTTCCAAGCACCCAAGATGACAATGAGATTTCTAATCTACACATGCTATCTGGAGATGACAGAGAGGAGGGTCTTCTCTCGCCCATTCTCCCTATCCTTGTGGAGACATAAGGACTTCTAGAGATAACACACCCTCCACCCCTTGACATTGCAAGGCCTTAGATTCTGATGTTGGCTTCTGGATACCTGGGCCACTAATTCTGAGGCCATATTTAAGAGGTAGAACCTTGATAACCAACAAAACTCATCGAATCTCCTGATGCAGCTCCGGATGGAAAGCCAATGACTCACAGAAAACGCCGATGCCCTGTGATCTCTCAGGTGCTCCCTGTGCAGTAATGCTGGCATTTTCACAAGATGCCCGTGGGACATAATACCAAAACCTGAAGAAGCAGCTCAATCCCCTGTCACCATCATTAGGGGCTATATTAGAGAGAATTCAAGAACTCAGACTCTGAAGTGCCCACTCTGACGGTCTGTTTCCCTCCACTGACCACTCTGCCTACTTTGCCTGGTTCAGTGGCTCCCAGCCAATTCCAGTAGCTTCCAGCAGCCTGGAATCCCCCACCCCTTGATTCTCTGCCGTTCCTGCCTTGCCAGTCCTCAGCCTTGGAAAATGCCCTTTTCTCCACTCTGTCCCTCCCTCTGGCATGCTAAGGAATATCACCGCCCATGCTGACAGGTCCACGGCAAAGGTGCCTGTTGATATCACTGGGTTCTGTTTGGCTGCCCAGACACACTTTGGCTCTCCTCTGGTTGTCTAAAGAGACCACAGATGCACCATCACGCCTGGCTAATTTTTGCATATTTTGTAGAGACAGAGTTTCTCCATTTTGACCAGGCTGGTCTTAAACTCCTGGGCTCAAGTAAGCCTCCTGCCTCAGCTTCCCAAAGTGCTGGGATTACAGGTTGAGCCACTGTACCTGGCCTTTTGTCTCAATTTCCAAAACACTATTGTCTTGACACATTTAAAAAAATTTTTCTCTAACATAGCAACCTTATTAACTGATGTCTTGACATTCTTTAAATCAACATAAGGGCCAGGCACAGTGGCTCACGCCTGTAGTCCCAGCACTTTGGAAGTCCAAGTCAGGAGGATCACCTGAGGTCAGGAGTTCGAGACCAGCCTGGCCAACAGTAAAACGCTGTCTCTACCAAAAATACAAAAATTAGCCGGGCATGGTGGTGCATGCCTCTAATCCCAGCTACTCGGGAGGCTGAGGCAGGAGAATCACTTAAACCTGGGAGGTGGCAGTTGCAGTGAGCCAATCGCTTTCATTGCACTCTAGCCTGGGCAAGAGAAGTGAAAAACCCTGTCTCAATAAATAAATAAGTCTTGGGTCAGTTAAATTTAAGTCAAATTATCGAGGTTTGGTTGGGTGCAGTGGCTCACACCTATAATCCCATCACTCTGGGAGGCTGAGGCAGGCAGATCACTTGAGGTCAGGAGTTTGAGACCAGCCTGGACAACATGGTGAAACCCTGTCTCCACTAAAAATACACACACACCAAAAAAAATTAGCCGGGAGTGGTGGCACACACCTGTAATTCCAGCTACTTGGGAGGCCGAGGTGGGAGAATCACTAGAACCTGGGAGGCGAAGGTTGCAGTGAGCCAAGACCGCACCATTGTACTCCAGCCTGGAGACAGAGCAGGATTCGGTCTCTAAATAAATAAATAAATAAATAAATAAATAAATAAATAAATCAAGGTTTTACTGTGCCAGGCATTACACTAAAATGCTGTAGGGGTCAGGCACAGTGGCTCACACCTGCAATCCCAGCACATTAGGAGCCCAAGGTGGGCAGATTGCTTGAGGTCAGGAGTTTGCGACCAGCATGGCCAACGTGGTGAAACCCTGTCTCTACTAAAAATACAAAAATTATCCAGGCATGGTGGTCAGTGCCTGAAATCCCAGCTACTTGATAGGCTGAGGCAGCAGATTTTCTTGCACCTGGGAGGCAGAGGTTGCAGTAAGCTGAGATGGTTCCACTGCACTCTAGCCTGGGCAACAGAGAGACTCCATCTCAAAAATAAACCAAACCAAAACAAAACACTAAAATGCTGTAGGGAGGCAAAGATGAATAAATCGTGAGCCTTGCCCTCCAGATGTTATTTGCTTGAAAAAGACAAATATACTTTACTAACTCTTACTCTGCCCCATCTCCATCTGTCTAAATTCTGTCCATCCTCCAAGAATAGTGTCAAATCCCACCACATGCACTTATGCAAAAGGTAACTATTGAGCACTTGCTGTATGCTCTGCACTGGAAATACAGCCATACAAGTCAGCAATAACTTCAGATGCTGTTTTCTCCCCTAACAGGGCTCACAGCCTAGAGGGCCTTTGCTAACTAGATGCAGTCTCTCCTTCCTAGTCTTCTGTAGTATTTTGCCTGGGTCTTTCTGCATTTAATTGAATTCTGCCTTGTATTCTAGCATTTGGAGGGAGGGGTTTCTATTCCCTTTTCTGGATTGTTTTGTTCAACACACTCATTGAGCACCTTCTTTAGGCTGGAGTCTAAGCTGGGTGCTCATATAGAGAGAAGAGGAAGACTCAAAGCTACTCCCAAGAAACTCAATAGGATAGTGTTGTGTAAGCTCTCTGATGATAGGAACTCCACCTTACTTACCTCTGTATTCTTTTAGCCCCTTCTTAATGCTTTGCATATCATAGGCTACAGCTGATTTTGTCTGTGTATGGAGACAGCCCTGATACCCTCTCCTTTCTATCTTGTTAGGCAAGGGTCAGGGCCTGCAGATGCCCCTGGCCATACTTAGGCAGATGTCTCGACCTGAGGAGTCTGGACCCCTCAGGGTGGGGCATGTTCCCTCTAACTTGGGCCAGGTGATTCAGGGACATTCAGCAGAGCTGGCTTGCCCCACCCACAAGCAAGTGAATAGCTCCTGCACCTACACCTGACCTCTCCCTTTTCTAGTGGTCTTGCACTTGCCAGCACCTCCGTGTCTGCCTCGCACAGATATGCCTCTGGCCCTTATATTTCAGGTACATTGATCTTTTCTTCCCAAGTAGATTGTAAGCTCCATAAGGGCAGGAGCCAAATTAAGTTTTAGGCTTCTTTTGGCTTTTCTACACCAGTTGGCACAGTGCCAGCCAGGTAATGAGGTCTTTAAAATATTTGTCCACTGATTGACATTGCCATCATTTCTTACTTCCTTCGCTTAAGACATTGTCTCAGGCCGGGCGCGGTGGCTCAAGCCTGTAATCCCAGCACTTTGGGAGGCCGAGGCGGGTGGATCACGAGGTCAAGAGATCGAGACTATCCTGGTCAACATGGTGAAACCCCGTCTCTACTAAAAATACAAAA